AAATGACAATTAAATATGCCTGCACATGTCTACTACAGGTGCAACCTTCCATAAGATACAGAGGCATGAGAAGGGGCAACAGATCTTTATGCATTAGGACTTCTCAGGCAGGTGTTTGGTTTAGCAGTTAAAACACCACTTGGGATACCAGAATTCAACATCTGAGTTTCTGGGGTTGGGTCCTGGCTCTGCTCCCCATTCCAGCTTCCTGCTAATGCACACACTCAGAGGCAACAGATAATGTGGCTCAAGTACCTGAATTTCTGCCAAACACCTGAGTCTCAGTGTCTTTCTCTCTCTCTGTGTTGCTGTATCTTTTAAATAAATACATAAAACTTCTTTAAAAAACTACATATGGGGCAAATATTTGGTCTCCAGTATAGTACATATTTTAAAAATGTGATATCACCTAAACAAATTCACCAACAGGTGATTGAACAATTGAATTATGGTGCACCCATATAATAAAATAATATTCAGATATTTTAAAAAGTTGGTACAGAGAATATTTACTGAAAAACATCCGTGGTATTTTTGAGCAAATATGTGAACATGTGGGGGTGGGGGGAAGCTGGGATGAGATTACCTCTAGAGACAGACAGGAGTCTGGGCTTCCAGGGGTGGGGCAGGGGTGTGCGGAGCTGGCACCCCCTGGGTGCCTGGGTGACACCACATTCACGTATGTCATCATTTACATATGAAAGCATGCCTTCCCTGTCAGGGCACTGGTAACTTTGTGAATCAAATATACATCTGCTTTGTGGGTACATGCCAGACAGGTCACAGGATCCCTGGTCCCTACCCATGAGATGCCAGTGATACCACCTCTCAGACATTGCCTAATGTTCCCAGAAGAACAGAATTACTCCCAGCTGAGAGTCACCATATCCAACCAGACATTTATATTTTATGCATCTTTCTTCTACGTTAAATTTCATAACTAAAGTTTCATTTTCAAAACAATAGGGAGGGAGCCCGGCGTGATGGCTCAGTGGTTAAATCCTCACCTTGCACATGCCAGGATCCCATATGGGCATCCGCTCATGCCCCAGCTGCTCTGCTTTCTTTCTGCTTGTGGCCTGGGAAAGCAGTAGAGGACAGCCTAAAGCCTTGGACCCTGCACCACATGAGAGACCCAGAAGAAAGCTCCTGGCTCCTGGCTTTGGATCGGCTCAGCTCCAGCCTTTGCAGACACTTGGGAAGTGAATCAGCAGATGGAAGATCTCTTTCTCTCTCTGTCCTCCTCTCTGCAAATCTGCCTTTCCAATAAAAATAACACATAAATCTTTTTGAAAGACTAGGGAGGCCCAGCGCGGTGGCGCAGTGGTTAAGGTCCTCGCCTTGCACGCCCGGGATCCCATATGGGCACTGGTTCTAATCCCAGCTGCCCCGCTTCCCATCCAGCTCCCTGCCTGTGGCCTGGAAAAGCAGTCGAGGATGGCCCAAAGCCCTGGGACCCTGCACCCGCGTGGGAGACCCGGAAGAGGCTCCTGGCTTCGAACTGGCATAGCATTGGCCGTTGCGCTCACTTGGGAGTGAATCATTGGATTGGACGGAAGATCTTCCTCTGTCTCTCCTCTCTGTATATCCACCTTTCCAATAAAAATAAAATAAATCTTTAAAAGAAAAGAATAGGGAAGTATGTCAAATTTTTAACAAGTGGCAAGATTGAAGGCCTTTCATTGTTGTTGTTATTATTATTATTATTATTTTGTTTCATGTATTCCTGACAAGTATCATTGTCTACAATGAAGAAACAAAAAGCTATTTTAGAGGTTTCCAATTATTTTGAACATTCAAAAGGCTATGTCTGGAGTCCAGGACCCCATGATCCATCCTCCTTACAGAGGAGCCAGGAACATTGCCTGAGGGCACGAAAACAAGCTGGCTTAAGATGGCTCTGTAAAGGGGCTGACAGTAGCTCAACTGGCTAGTTATCACCTTGCAGCCCCAGCATCTGAATCCCATTTGGGCTCCAGTTTGTGTTTCGGCTTCTCTACTTGCTACACAGCTCCCTGCTTATGGGGGACGCAGTAGAGATGGTCCAAAGTATTGGGACCCTGTACCTGTGTGGGAGACCTGGAACAGGCTCACAGCTCCTAGCTTCAGAGGGGCTTAGCTCCAGCTGTTGTGGCCAGTTTGGGAGTGAACCAACAGATAGAAGATCTTTTGCTGTCCCTCTTCTCTGTAAATCTGCCTTTCCAATAAAATCTCTGCAAGACCTTCAGGCACTCTGCAGAAGTATGGGTAGGACTAAGGACCTGACCCTGGCTATGGAAGGGAAGGGAGAGTGAGTCCCTGACTGGTGAGCCTGGTGAGCAGGGCAGAATTCACCAGGTGGGACACACAGCACATCCATCCTTCAAGGAAACAGACATCTGAGCTCCAAAGCAAAGGAAGTCTGGTTTTACTCTTGGGGGCACTTCAACCCCACATGCAGTAGATGCTCAGTGAAGATGTGTTTAGTGATTAATTGCATGAGTAAAGGCACAAAATCAACACCTTCAAAGCTGGAAACAGGAAGGGAAGTGGAAGGAAGCTGCTCATGCCCATCACCACTGATGGACCAAAAAATCTCTACCATGGCCCTGGTCTTCGTGATGCTTTTAGTTAACTAGAAAATTAATTAGTGCAAAAACAAAAAAATGACCAGTTATTCCCAAATGCCTCTACCCTGAGGTCTTTAGACAGAGAAGAAGAAAAAAACCCTTCAGAGTCCAATCTCTACGAGCTCAGACTCTATTTCGGGAGTGGAGTCCTGAAATTACATCCGAGACTGGAATGCCCAGAGCACAGCTGCAAGCAGCATGAAGCCAGTGCCAGTCCATATGCTGCAGCCTGCATGTTGTAGCCAGCACACAGGACTGGTTCCTCCGCAAGCAGTGCCTTGGTCCCCTCTGCCCCCAGGGGACCAGGTCCTGGAGCTTCCCAACCCTGAGTGGAAAAAGGCATGGGGATTTGTTAGCAGTATCTGTGCCTAAGCTTCCCCAGAAAAGCCAGGACCCGTTCTGAAGTTCTATGGGTAGTCCTGCTGTGCAGCCAGCCTGGGTGGTCTCAGCCAGCACTGGGGTTGGTTCTCACATCTTAAGCTCAGCTCCACCTCTATGGTGACTGCCCCTGGACTGTCACCACAGCTCCAGCCAATTATCCTCTAGATGTGGCTCCCAAACAGTCTGGATCAGGTGTGCAGTCAACACTGATTCTTAGAACACCTCCCATGGGCACTGGATGCAAGCCTCTATAGAGGAGTCCCGGGAATCCGTTTTCAAGCACTCTTGCCAAATGATTTGAGGACGGCAATTGGTGAGGACTCCACCTTAGATTCAGTGAGGCTGCCTGGCACACCTGGAGGGTGGCTGGAGGCAGGGCCAAAGAAGACATAGACACAACAGAGCACCTGCTCACACCCTGAGCTGGAGCACATCAATGAATAAAGCAGGACAGGTGGTCATTCCCAAGGAGGCCTGGCGGCCCAAGGACAGAGCCAAGTACTACACACATACTGGTTGTTACAAGTGTCACTGCATCTAGAGTGGAGAATTGGATGTTAAGTCAATCCTGGCGCTTTCCTGGAGAGGGTGGTATGCAGGTAGACTTTGAAAGACGCACAGACCTGAAACAGCTGAAGTGATTACACACAGTTGTATTCCTAGGGGCTTATCAGTCCAAATGAATAGGAATAAGAGCAAAAGTTAGGGCATAATAAGATGTGGGGAGCACAGCAGCTGCCCCTGCTCAGGGAATCAGGGCCAAGACAACACTCAAGATGGGACTTGATGAAACTGGTCACCTGCCTTCCTCGAGAGCAGTACCCACCAACCAGTGTGAACGCTGGTTTCCACATCCTGACTTGCAGAACACAGATGCTGGGAGGCACCATGTACACCAGAGCCTGGGCTTCCGTGGGCTCCAGGGCTACTGGCCAGTGGTCAGCCTGGAATGTCTACACAGTCAAGGTCCCTGCAACATCTGAGAATTAAAGATCTTGCCTTAACGTTACTCCAGCAGACCAAACACACAAACATGACACCTTCAAAATGACTGAAACGTCCCAGATCAAGCTTTTCAAACAAGCAGCAAATGCAAATCGTCCTACCACAAGGATTCAGTACTATACACAAATCGTACTTTGCCAACGCTGATTTTGCTCAAATCTCAGGCTGCCACTTGCCCTCCCCGTATGACCTGCGTCTGACTGCACAAAGCCCCAGAGCACGAGTGTGCAGCTCCGGGCAAGGAGGAAGCCCTCTCCTATTTATCTTTCCCTGCAGCGCTGGGGTCCTGACTCACAGCTATTGTTCCTTCTCCTAATTTTGACGGGTCCTTCCTCTTCCCTTTCCCTTCCTGAGTCTCTCTGTCCTGTGGGAACCCCTGCCCTGCAGTGGCAGCTAAAGGTGCTTGTTGAGGTGGGGGGTGGGTGAGTCCTTTGCTTCCCTAGAGATAATTCTCCAGCACCACCCATAGGGGCTGAAGCTCCTCAAATCTGGAAAACTCCCCTGACACCCCTGAACACTTGTGGCCCTTACTGTCTGGGACACTGCGGATTCAATGTGGGCTGTGATCCATCAAGACAGAGGGGTGAATGAATGAACGGAACCAAGGCACAACAGCAAAGCTCACCAGCCATTGCCCAGTTGTAGGTGGCCCTGACTTTTCTCCACCTCTTGGATGCATCTGCCAATACCCCACAATTTCCACTACCTGATTCAACCATGACTCAGTTCTCTTCGGGTGTAGGTAGGTCTCCGGGAAGCACGAAGCGAAAAGCAAAGCTGGCAGTGGACACAGTACTGCACTCGGGTGGTTCCAAAGTCCCCCAGTCCTAAGGCATTTCCTGTGAGTTTTCAGTCTCATCACCATCGCAGCAGAAATCGAAGCCGGGCTCCCTCCCTACTGCCAGGAAGAGAAACTGGCCTGTCTGGCCTGGGGCTAGGGCGGGAAGCCAGGGCAAGAGTATAGGCTATGGGCGTGGACATCATCCCGCGCCCCCAGGTTCTCACCTCGGAAAGTCAGGCTGGCCACCGGATCGCTACGCTGGTCCTTCTTCACTCCCGGCAGGTTGCTGGCCCTCACCAGCAGGCAACACAGCATGGTTCCGCAGCCTCAGGCACCCAGAGGCGCGCCAGCAGGACAGCAACGGGAGCACCCGGTCCAAGCACCCACTTCACAGACACCCGTGCCAAAAGGGAGCTGTCACCTTCGCGGCGACTCCACAGAAAAGTGGCCGGTGCCTGGGAGGGGCCCAGTAGGGAGGACACCGGACACCCCCTGGGCGGGGCGGACCCTCCCCTTCCCTCCCCTCCAGTCCCCTGCCCAGATCCGCCCTGGGCAGGCGGAGAAGAGTAGAGCTCGGACCAGAGCCCCGAGTGTGTGTCTATCCTAGGTCTCCGCCTCCAGCCAGGAATGGAAGTCGCAGCTGACACAGGCCACCGTGTGGCCTCCGAGCGCGGACGCGTCGCCTCCGAACCTGCCCCCATACGGGAGACTCCGGTGGCCAGGCCTCCCGACCGGCTCGCACAGGAAGGGACCTGGGGGAGCGCGGGAAGAATGGGCGCGACAATGGCGGGGGGGGGGGGTGTCCTTGTGCCACTGGGAGCTAGAGCCTAAAGAGCCCTGGAGGAGTGTGCCGTGCTAGAGTGCCCAGTGCGCCCCTGACCCTGGCATCCTCCCACCACGCGTTACCCGTGCTGGAGAGCCAGGCCCCTTGGCTCCAGCTCGCTGCTTAGGCGGACACTCTAACACCTAAAACCCAAGGTCAGGAAATACCCCATGTTCCGGTCCCAGTGACCCAGCCTCTGAACCTTTTTCAAGCCCATCTAGGGCCTCTCCTGAGGCCGCAGTGTTTGTTCAAATCACACAGGCGTTCGGTTCAGCTCACCAACCCAGCTGTTGCTGATTCCTGACCCTCAGGACATGATAAAGCTTGTCTTTCCCATTTTATGACCAGACTCCAGTAATTCCTACCCCTTTCCCCCAAGGCCCAACTTCCCTGTGTACTGGATTATTCCATCTGCCTACAGACATGGTACCACTGTCTGCCCAATAAATGCCCTTGGCACCCACACAGTTCCAGCCTCCACTCTTCTCTCCTTTCACCAATATCTTGTCCAAAGCATCATCCCTTCTTCGTGTCTCCAGTCTTTTCCCTCAAATCCTACCAGCTCTCCTTCAAAACATGTCCAAAATCCCACAACTTCTCACCACCTCCATGGCAAACATCACTATTAGTGCTTCACGCAGGCTTTGCGATGGACACCCTATGTGGCTCCCACTTCTATCCTTGACCTCCACAATGTACTCCCAACCCCATCAGCAAGACGATGTAGTGTCATCTTTAACTCCTTGAAAGTCCCCCCACGTGACCTCACTGACCTCCCCTGCCGCTTCCCTAGGGGACCATCCTTGAAGAATGTGAGCCTGCCAGCTGTCTTCAGCCAGGACAAACCAGCACCCTCAGGGCCTTTGCTCAGCTGCTTCCTCGGACTGCAGTGTGTCACCTTTGCTTCAGCCAACAGTCCATTAAAAGGTGGCCATCTCTGGGCACCCCTATTTAAAGCCACACTTCCATGCCAGGCTCCAACCTCCATGTAACACATGCACCTGTCTTCTTTCTCTCCCTGTTAAGAATGAATGCCTCCTCCAAGAAGGTAGGGTTTTCGTTATGTTCGTCCACTGCCATCTCCTCAGCACCTGGAACAGTGCCCGGCACAAAGTAGGTGTTCTGTAAACCATAAACCTCTTCCTAAAGAATAAACGAGGGGGCCCGGTGGCGTGGCCTAGCGGCTAAAGTCCTCACCTTGAACGCACCAGGATCCCATATGGGCGCCAGTTCTAATCCTGGCAGCTCCACTTCTCACCCAGCTCTCTGCTTGTTACCTGGAAAAGCAGTCGAGGACGGCCCAAAGGTTTGGGACCCTGCACCCACGTGGGATACCCAGAAGAAGTTCCTGGATCCTGACTTTGGATCGGCATAGCATCGGCCGTTGCGCTCACTTGGGGAGTGAATCATCGGACAGAAGATCGGTCTCTCCTCCTCTCTGTATATCTGACTTTCCAATACATAAATAAATAAATAAATAAATAAATAAAGAATAAATGAGGGGGACCCGATGCAATGACCCAAGGGCTAAATCCTTGCCTTGCAACTGCCAGGATCCCATGTGTACCTCAGTTCGTGTCCCAGTTGCTCCACTTCCCATCCAGCTCCCTGCTTGTGGCCTGGGAAAGCAGTAGAGCATGACCCAAGTACTTGGACCCTGCACCCACATGGGAAACCCAAAAGAAGCTCCTGGCTTCAGATGGGCTCAGTTCCAGCCATTGCGGCCAGAGTGAACCAGCAAATGGAAGATTTTTCTCTGTGTCTTACCTTCTCTCTGTTAATCTGCCTTTCCAATAAAAATAAATAAATTAAAAAAAAAAAGAATAAATTAAGGGCCGGCATATGACTCAGCAGGTTGTGCTGCAGCTTAGGACACCAGTAGCCCATTTCTGAGCACCAGTTTGTCCTGGGGACTCTGCTTTTGATCCAGCTGTCTGCTAATGCGCCTGGAAAGATAGCAGAAGACGGCCCAAGTGCTTGTCCCTATCAGCCATGTGGGAGGCTTGGATGGAGTTTTGGCCACCTGCTTTTGGCTCCACTCAGCCTAAAACCATGATGGCCTTTGGGGGAGTGAATGGATGGAAGACTTCTTTCTCTTAAACTGCCCTTTTCTGTCTCTGTTGATTGACCTCCTAGATAAGAGAAATAAATCTATCAATTAAGAAAGAAATGAATCCCAAGCACGTTCATGGGTCACTGCTGACTTGCTAGAAGGGTGCAAGGTCGTGGGGTGCATTATACTCCTCCTTCCAGGGAACTCAAGGTCAGGGAGTGGAGACCTCCTTCCCCCATCCAGGGAAGGTGCCCATGGGAATACTTTCAGAGAAGTAGATAAAGAGCGGAGGGGGGTGGGAGGAGGAAACAGGAGGGGGCAATCATCCCCACGGGGGTAGGAGAGGGGAGGAGAGGAAAAGGCAGGTGGGGGCTGTGCTCTCCCAAACATTGCCCAACTGCCAGGGCCCTGTACTCTCCTCTGCCATCCAGATGGGGTGGGCACTGGCTTCCTCCCCTACATCCAGTCCTCCTTCTTCCTTCTGTCCCCAGCTGCAGCTCCAAGGTGGATCCTCCACTTGAGTCCACATCCTGGCCATGTTCCAGTGGTGTACATGTGTCTCAATCACTCTTCAAAAGAGTGGAGGCCTTTCACACTAAGAATGGAGAATCCCGACTCCCTCTCCTGCTCTATGAACCAGAAGCACACAGATCCAATTGCCAACCAGCCCTGGGAGGTAGCAAACACCAGGGACAGCAGACAAGAAAGAAAAAGATTCCACTTCGGTCTGGAGTGACACTGTGGAGCTGTGAGGCATACAGAACGTACATGGAGCTCCATGTGTCTCTGGATCATAATTGAGGTAGACTGGTCACTTTAAGACAATTTAAATCTATGTGAGCCATGACTTCAACTCTTAGCAACCCAGCCCAACTTTCCGTCTCATCCATGCACATACCACATTCAGATGGCTCCACCAAGTCCAACCACCACCTGCCTGGGCCATTCACGGACCTCCTAGCTGGGCTGCTACCCATTACTCTGGTCACACTTGGCCCACTGCCCACACCACAGACAGCTTATCGCAGAACAAACACCATCGAGTCACTGCTCTGTTAAACACCTCCCTTGCCACTGCAAGAGCCTTCAGTGTTTGTAGGGTGAAGAAGCCCGGACCCCTCATCTTAACCTCTCGCTCTCTGAGTCCCAGCTCCAGAGACCCCACCCCCGTGGCTCTGTGGCCAGCTGACCCCTCTGCCTGCAACAACATTGCCCTTTCTCCCAGCAGGGCCACTCCCATCTATATTGCAGGCTTCAGTTGCTTCAAACATCACTCCCTTGAGACCTCATGGTCTTGGTGGGCTCTCTCAGGCAGGAAACTGCCTCTTGGTCCCATCAAGATTGTAAGCAGTGGCTGCTGGTGTGCTTGCTTGTTTAATGCAACACACTGTGAAGGAGAGAGACCGACCCTGCTTTAACATCTCGGGTGCTCCAGTGGGCAGTGTGGAGCTGGAGTCTGTACAGGATGCTGTACTTTGGCTACCGAGTACTGGTCCCACCGCCAGGTCTAAATCAGATATTCCCAAAGAGAGAGAGACTGCCCCCTAGAGGAAAGCTTAAATATCATGAAGCTCTTTTTACTTGTTTCTGCCACAGTGATTTCTAGCTTTTTTGCTCCTTCCCAACCACAAGCATTCTATCCCCACCCATATGCCAATCTGTCAGTCAGCCAGGAAATGTGTAGTGAGGATGGCTAACAGTGAACACACCTTTTATAAACCCACAGCTTCTGTCCAGAAGCGGGGACTCCATACATCTGCAGTGCAAACCAGAAAAGCAGCAGCCGGTGCCTTGAGCCGTCTCTCCCACCCTGCCTGCAGCTTCCTGCTCAGGGCTCTGGTCGCCACCCACGACGTCTCCCCCTGCAGACGTCCATACGAGGATTCCGTGACTTGGGGGCACCTCCCTCCAAGAAATGAAGCTCTAACAGGCAGCCTGGTTGAAACCTCACCTCTCCCTCACACGTGCACCCTCCTCTTCTGCCTTACACATTATCCACAGTTTATCCAGGCCACACAGCCACCTGACTGGATGGATTGCCTTGTCCAGCCTCCTCTGCAGCTAGATATGGCTGTGTCCTCAGGGGGAATGCAGACACAGGCACCTGCAGCCCAGGCCCTCAGGCTCCAAGATGTGAGAAAACCCCATACATCAGAAACTGTTTCTGGGGTTCCCTGGCACACATCCAGCCTACACACACAGTTGCCTTTGCCCAACACCATGTCTTACAGCAAAATTAGGCCTTAATGAAGCATTGGATGTTCCATACTCATCTGGATTTATAGCCTCTCTTAAAAAGTCAGAGAAACCGGAGCCAGTGATGTTGCATGTTAAGCCATCTCCTATGACACCAGCATTCCCCCCGTAGCCCAAATGGATGCTGGTTTGAGTCCCAGCTGTTCTGCTTCTAATTCAGCTGCCTGCTAATGTGCCAGATAA